ACATTCTGCAACGGTAAAATACGACTTAGAGGCGGATATTTGTTTTACCTTATGGGCAACAGTTGTTGACAAAACTCGCCTCATGGTTGACTCTGAGAAAAAAACTCTTTCCCACAGAGGGGAATAAACTTATTCGAATATGAGCTTTTTTCCACTAAGACTTGTTTTATGGGGAGATGTACGAAATTATTTACCGGGTTACAAGCAATGATAATATCGGATGTTGACTCCTCAGCGTCATCATTTTCTATCTATTGAGAAAACTTATTGTTAAAGTATTGAAGAAAAAAACTATTCTGCCGTCTCACTCCTCCTTGACCCGCGGTGTGTGTGTGTGTGTGTGTGTGTGTGTGTGATCGGCGGCGTTGTTTGAACGGAATGCTGACATAATATTCACGGATTCTTCCTCGCGATTGGTAGAACTGTCACAGATATCGACTCCCCTCCCGTTTCTTCTCTCATTTTATCCTAGTCTAGCGAAGCATCTGTTTTTCGCATCTTTCTCTTGACAATACCAATAGTTAGAGAGGGGGTTTTTTTTGTTTTTGTTTTTTTTTGATTGCCTTCTTGCGAACGCCGTCTGTTTTCCGCATTCTGCAACGGTAAAATACGACTTTGAGACGGATATTTGTTTTACCAAATGGACAATTGCTGTTGACAAAACTCGCCTCATGGTTGACTCTGAGAAAAAAACTCTTTCCCACAGAGGGGGGTGCTTTAATAAACTTATTCGAATATGAGCTTTTTTCCCCGCTAAGACTTGTTTTATGGGGAGATGTAAGAAATTATTTACCGGGTTACAAGCAATGATAATATCGGATGTTGACTCCTCAGCGTCATCATTTTCTATCTATTGAGAAAACTTATTGTTAAAGTATTGAAGAAAAAACTCTCTACTTTAGTCTGACAAGGAGCAGGTTGCGCAAAACCTACCTCATATAGATGTTTTAATAATAATAATAATAATATTTTTTGGGGGGCGTGTTATAGGATATAAGCATTGAGAAAAAACTGATATCTGCTGTCTCACTCCTCCTTGACCCGCGGTGTGTGTGTGTGTGTGTGTGTGTGTGTGTGTGTGTGTGTGTGTGTGTGTGTGTGTGTGTGTGTGTGTGTGTGTGTGGAACAAGATCGCCTGTCGCTGGTTTGTTTTTCAGTCTCTCAAAAGGAACAGTAGTTTTTTACACATAGGCAGCCTGTAGGTTACAAGCGGATAGAAAGTTCTTCTTTTCATCACAAGCTATGGTGTATCTTAAAGGTTTTTTAACAGCGTCTGTATTATAGGAAAATAAAATGCTATTGAAATCTCTACAGGAAGTCACTCTTTATTTCCATTACAAACGCCGGTGCAGCTTAAGAAAGTAAAATTACACCCGCTCTGTCTCTCTATACATCACAGAATCAGCTGCTGCATCACCGCTGTGCTTAGGGAACATGACGCAACAGGTCTGAAAATGACTAGACACTTCCGGAGTATTTCCGGTAGGGTTATAAGGTCCGGATCGAGATTGAATATGTCATATTCAAAACCTTCTTCTTTGGGAGAGCAGATCTCATCGGACACAGGACCGCTGCAGAAGGAAAGAATCCATCTTGTGTCTGTGCCTTAGAAATTGTGACGGACTCCTCTCTCTGCTTTTTTATTCCCCTCCAACAGATGGCGCGCTTCCGGAGGTTTCCCCCTCCCTCTAAAAACTTTTTTTCCCTACAACAGATGACGCGCTTCCGGGGGTTCACCCCTCCCTTCTCAGGCTGCAATTCGACACGGTTAGCAACAGATGGCGCGCTTCCGGGGTTCACCCCGGGTTCGCCCCCCTTTCTCAGGATATAATTCGTCACGCGGGGGGTTTCCCACCCCCCCTTCTCCGGATACGATTCGTCACGCGGGGGGTTTCCCACGGAGGGGAGGGGCGGGAGGTCAAAAGGTCGTGATTAGGGCCATCAATCACTTCGGATCAAATTTTGTCATAAGCTGTATGGGAATAACTCTCTCCCCAAAAAACGGCTAAAGCGGTAAAAAGGATGTCGTATTCACGGATGCAGAGAAACATTGCACTGTTGGAGTTGTTGTATAAATCCCCACCCAGCGTACGGAGGAATATTATTTGTAATGCAAGCATGGATTTTATTAATGCTCTGTGTGAGATATCGCTCAATGTTTTGAAAGGTGTTATCCCGCTGACTGATCAACAGTACTGTTAGGGAAAATATTCTAAAACACTTCTTCAGTAAAGACTGACTGATCAAAATGACTGATCAACAGTACAGACAGCTAAAAAAGAAGTGCAGTGGGAGGGGTCTTAGAAGGTTTGGGTGTATACACATACAAGCCGTTGCCATCCTGCTTAGTAGATGTTGGCTTGGTTATGTTGGATATCACATCAGACACTATGCCTGATGCTGCTGTTTTTAGGTGGGGTTTGACTGTGCTGACTCCTTTTTTAAACAATGGTACAGCAATTCTAAACAGGCTGCTGAACAAACCTCCCAGACCTGCGCCACATTGCGTGCTGGTCCCAGTATAACCATTCAATTCGCCACCAGCCTGAAAAACGGTATGTGTTAATTTTGGTCGTCTATCAAATCAATTTCTATGTCATGGATTAAGGATTTCGAGACCTGTGTGCAGTGTGGGCTGTCAAATTGAAGAATGGCTCCCCGACGGTCATCGTCTGTTATATTTATTGCTCTTAATAGCCGCGCATGAGCGTCACCCACAAGCTGGTAATCAACGATATCTGCATAAATAAAAATGTTCTATTTTCCGCCGTATAAGTCTGCAGGATGTGGTGCGTATGTGTTTTTATAAAGAAGTACAAACGGGTCTTCTGATTTGAATCCTAAGATTTCTGCCAGTCTCCCTCTAAATGTGAGAACTGTGCTCCTAGGGCCCATAACACTAACATAGTTACTAACTTCACTGTATTGTGTTTTAATGTCGGTGTTATGTTTTAATGTTTTATTATCTGCGCCACAGATGCATAATGCCCCACAGACAGCTCAATCACGGTTATGGACAATGCTCCATTTGTGACTGGATCATAAATTTCCACTCGCGAATCTGATTGTGGAAAAGACAACCATAGTCTTGGGTATTGAAATTCTATAACACCGACCTCATACGGTTCATTTAAAACAATAGGTGTTATAACCTCAGGATAAAAATGCTCGGAAACTCAAGTGCCAAGTGCCTCTTTTTTTCTGCCAAGTATTTTCTCTATTTGAAACCTTTTGTTTTTGTCAATAGTCACCTGCTGTATCTCAGGTTCGTAAATTACACCTTTCACTGCAGCTCCTGTGAGATCCTCTAGTTTGTATACGGGAGGGTCTCTTCCTAAACGCTCCTTTATGGTAAAGTACTCGTCTGTGTAGGTCTGATGGTAACCCTTTCAGAATATGCCTCGTAGTTTAGATATTCTCTCTGTATCGCCCACATTAAATTTAAAAGTCACCGGTTTTTGGGGTTTCATTTTGTACAGGGTGTTAAAGACTGCTTTCTCATTATCTTTGCACACCTCGGTGGGGTCATTTTGATAGAGCTGTGATAAGACAGGTTATAGGACTGTACAAGATCTTGGATCACATTAACATATCTTGGCGAGTTAACTGATGTTAAGTATTTCCACATTTTCCCCTTTAAGGTGCGGTTAAAACGCTCTACCACACATGATTTCATTTCACTAAAGGTTGAAAAATGTGTGATGTTATGCTGCTCCATTAGTTTTTTAAATGTTTATTATAAAATTCCTTCCCTAAATCTGTTTGGAGTTTTTCAGGCACACGGCCCTCTCTCAGAATATCACCAAAAGCCTCAGCAACAGCCTGTCCTGTCTTGGTTTCAAGGCACCTAACCCATGCATACTTAGAAAACACATCTATGCATGTCAATAAGTACCTAACATTATCATCATCCGCAGAATATTCACGCATGTCAACCAAATCAGCTTGAAACTGTTTGTCAATCCCGTTAACCAAAACTCTATTTCTGTATCCTTGCATTTCTGTATCCTTGCATTTCTGTGTCCTCTATCCTTGCAGGTTTATGAAGAGTATATGTGTCATCTCCTTTTAAAAACGCTCCACGTCAGGTAATGACGGCTTTAAGCCTGTTGCCTCACTGACAGCGATACGGAGCTTCTTTACACTTCCTAAACCCCCTGGGTGTGCAGGGTTGTGATATATTTTTCTCAGCGTGTTTTCCATAATCACTTTGACCAAACACAAATACAAATGACCAGAAAAAAGTGTTAGCATACGTTTTTATTTCATTTTCTGTGTAGTGCACAGTAAGGTTTTTATAACAGATGTGCATTAAATCTTGTGTCTCCCAGACCAGTAGTTTCCAATCATGTGGAGCAGCGCTGATTTAACTCCGCGGGTGTGATGATTGGTATTTAGCAGGTATCCGACATTCTCATCAGTGGTGCAAACAATGAACTGATCTCAGTTCACACAGAAGACGCTCTGCAGTGCTGATGATTTGTGCTTTAGCCTCACTGACACTGTATGAGCAAACAAACAGACGGATGGCCGGGATGAATCGGGGCGTCCGGAGCTTTTCCATCACCTCATCATAGCAGGTCTCGAAGAAAAACACAGGCAGCTCAAACAGGCAACTGTGGTGTAACTGGCTGGGGTGACCGGATTGGCATCCATAACATATCTCCTGCACATACTCATTCAGTGCCGTCGACAGCAGGTGGAAGGTTGCGAGTTTAATGTTGGGTTCTGTTTCCTCAGACGGGTGTGATCCTGCAGAGTCCTGTGAGCATCCTGGAGAGGGGGGCGGAGTCGGTGGGGTCTGGATTAGCAGTGCTGGAGGGGGAGACTCTGAGCGGTCCACAATATGGCAGATGTTGTCTGTAAAAGAAATCCACGCATTGCATTTTTTTTTAAATATCGGGTTTAATGCCAACGTCTCTCACACAGAGACAACCTACCTTTTGTTTTGTTTTTTTGTTTTTCTGTCCTCAAGGTTTTTGATGATTTTTGGCCTGAACATGGCAGAAGGTAAACCAATCTTCGGGCCATGTGCGAGCTGATCATATACAAGACGCTTCCTAATATTCTCATAAGAAGAGTTGACCTTGTCTCTCTTGATAGTCTTATCGACCTCATTAAACACCCGCTGCAGTGCTCTCCAGTCTGACCACTGAATAAAAAACAAATCCTTAAACCATGATAAACGTTCTTCAAGGGTGAGGGGGTATGGGTTCAACCTCCAGCTTTCAAGGCCCCAGAGTGAAACCTCTGTAACGTTGAGGTTTCACCCGGTGCAATTGTGGCTCTTGTAACTGTTGTGATATTTTGATACCATGGTAGCATTTACAGGATATTGTTTTATAGTGATATTATACAGGAAAACTGTTACTCAATAAGGCCCATTTACTAGTTGTTTTTCTCTTTCTCTGTAACCTAAGAATTAATGTGTAAGAATCACAGGCTGGTACCTCAAGGTTGAAAACACCACAGAGATCACTTCCTTACTCCCATCCTCCCTTCCTTATCTCTTAGAAAGGAGCTTGTTAAAGGCCAGGTGGTTTGTTTCAGAATTCACTAATGAAAGAACTCTGTATTCTGTGTCTAGGAGTGTATTTTGCTGGGATGATCATAAATTGTAGCTGAACTGATAAACTACACAAAGGATACTTCTTTGCTCACAAGGCAGGAAGACGTTCCCTTATTTGGTCTGTACCGGTTTGAACTGAGAATCTGTTGACAGACGAACCTTTTTCCTCTATATATACTGTTGTCTGATGAATAAACCTTTGAGTTGATTTTGGGAAAGCAACCCGTACAGTCTCTGTGTCGTTTTGTTCTCCCAGCTGCTCCCGACGTCGTAACTAACACGCTGAATGGCATATTTGACTGTTACTTGAGAATATTTCTTTGAGTTCTATAGGTTATGGACAATCTCTGCTGATAGGTGCTCACGCCTCGAAGGAAACCCGATCCACAGACGGAGATTTCTTTCAGTAACCATAAATGGTAAGCTGCTCTTTTGTCACACACTACATACACAATATATGTGTTTTAGTGCAAATTGTACATTGCTACATTGTTTTGAATTACCCTCGGCCCGCAGTATATGTAGGCACCTGTCAAAGGTCATTTGGATTTACCAGACCGCTTTGAAAACAACATGAAACAAATGAATGTCTTTGTTGAGCCATGACTGGATTTCTCCTAATCCTTCCTAAAGGCCGTTATAACCTTACACTGCCAGTGGTGAGCTGCACCAGCTGTGACCTAATGTGGTCCCCCTCAGTTAAGGACTTCCAGGGTGGTGGATATTGGCCTGGCACCTTAAATTTCTGCACCCTGTTTTCAATGGATGTCTTTCAGTCTTTCTATGACATTAAGGTCATAAGTAGTTTACTGACAATTATTTAACATTTGAAATGAAAAGATCCGTCAGTCCATTCACATATATACTGTTCAGAGAAGGAATGTAGTTTAGAGCAAAGTGTAGTAGTGTGAAGTGGCTAAACACACTCACCAATTGTTCTAAAATAAACAATTTATCAAAACATTAACAGTCTTTCACACATACATACGGTTTATACACTATTTTAAAAAGAAGGGGTTGAAGACCTGATTGATTACAAAAAGTCTATTAAAATGTTCTGGGTAACCACAGAAATCTTAGTCAGTTATGTCTGAGAGAGAATGTTTATGACAGAAGTAATGCCAAAATCTCAACAAACCAAAGTTACATACATGCTAAAGAGAAAGATCAAACAGTGCTGAAATTAGGAAGTGGGCAATATAGGGCTTCCCCAGTGAAATAACTGATCTGAAATAACTGAGGCACAAATTAATAAATGACATACTAGTAATCCACAGAAGGGGAGGCCTCTGGGAAAATGTAGAAAATCAATGGGAATTTCTACAGTAGCACGAGTTACCAGTCAATACCAGTCCTGGTATTGGTTATGTTGAAGTGATGGGTTTTATAATTCATTTTTGGTCCACTGAAGGGATTGTTTTGTAGCCCCAATATTGATATTTTGTAAATAAAAAATATGACCTCAATTAAACCTTTAAATTCCCTGCACTTGTCATAGATATCTACATGATGTCCAACAAATATACATCAAGTCCAAGGTTCTAATGTTGAATGCCATATTGATGTCCAGCTTAAATCATGGTTGGACCTCCAAATTGTTGGAAAAGTTCAAATGCAGTACAGACCTCCAGAATTGGTCATGGACCAACAGAACCAATATAGACACGATCTGTACATCTATCTGACTTTCTTTGTTTAGTTGGTAGCTAACTGAAGTGTCTTACTTTTTTTTTATAGATGAAAGAAAATGTCCCTGAAACATACAGTATGAAACAATGAGTGTCAGGTTTATATTGATAGTCTACATCACATTTAAGTGGTACCCATATGTCAATTTGTTTGAGCCTAAAACACAGACTACTCCATGACCCGAATTATTGTTTAATCCTTCCCATCAATACCTCTCAGTTCCACATCTCTAACTCATGTTATTCTCCATGCAGCTCTAACAGCAGTGGTCCAAACACAGCAGACTGTGCTGGCAGCAGTGGGAGAAGATGCTGAATTCAGCTGTCAGCTCTTGGACACTGAAGACGTCCTTCAGGTCACATGGCAGAAAATCTCACGTGATGTGGAGACAAATGTTGCCACCTACAGCAAGTACTATGGTCAGAGAGTGAATGATGGCTTTAACGATAAAGTCAAGTTTAAATACACTGGACTACAGAACTGCTCCATAGTCATCAGGAATGTGACGGAGCAGGATGAAGGATGCTATCACTGTCTGTTTAACACTTATCCTGAAGGCTCCTTCACTGGTAGAACCTGCTTCCAAGTCTATGGTAAGAACTTTTGCATTAATGTGTTTAAATGTGCTAGAAACTGATTTCCTTTCAACAACATATTCCTTGCAATATCTCCTGATCCTTCACAGAGCTGCATGAACCTGTTGTTGGTGTCAGAGAGTCAAACTCTGCTGAAGAGTGGGTTGTTTCCTGTTCAGCCACTGGTCGACCTGCTCCCACTGTAACACTCTCACAACAAGACCTCAGCTTCTCACAGTAAGAGAGTTAATCCCATACAGCTTATGACAAAATTTGATCCGAAGTGATTGATGGCCCTAATCATGACCTTTTGACCTCCCGCCCCTCCCCCCGGAAGCGTGTAATGAGCGTGACGAATCGTATCCGGAGAAGGGGGGTGGGAAACCCCCCGCGTGACGAATTATATCCTGAGAAAGGGGGCGAACCCCGGAAGCGCGCCATCTGTTGCTAACCGTGTCGAATCGCATCCTGAAAAAAGGAGGGGGAAACCTCCGGAAGCGCGTCATCTGTTGTTGGGAAAAAAAGTTTTTAGAGGGAGGGGGAAACCTCCGGAAGCGCGCCATCTGTTGGAGGGGAATAAAAAAGCAGAGAGGTGGAGTCCGTCACAATTTCTAAGGCACAGACACAAGATGGATTTCCTTCTGCAGCCCCGCAGCGTTCCTGTGTCCGATGAGATCTGCTCTCCCAAAGAAGAAGGCTTTGAATATGACATATTCAATCTCGATCCGGACCTTATGACCCTACCGGAAATACTCCGGAAGTGTCTAGTCATTTTCAGACCTGTTGCGTCATGTTCCCTAAGCACAGCGGTGATGCAGCAGCTGATTCTGTGATGTATTGAGAGACAGAGCGGATGTAATTTTACTTTCTTAAGCTGCACCGGCGTTTGTAACGGAAATAAAGAGTGACTTCCTGTAGAGATTTCAATAGTATTTTATTTTCCTATAATACAGACGCTGTTAAAAAACCTTTAAGATACACCATAGCTTGTGATGAAAAGAAGAACTTTCTATCCGCTTGTAACCTACAGGCTGCCTATGTGTAAAAAATTGAATACTACTTTTCCTTTTGAGAGTCCTTTTTACAAGAGACTGAAAAAACAAACCATAATTGACGCGACAGGCGATCTTGTTTCACACACACACACACACACACCGCGGGTCAAGGAGGAGTGAGACGGCAGAATAGTTTTTTTCTTCATTACTTTTACAATGGGATTTCTCAATAGATAGAAAATGATGACGCTGAGGAGTCAACATCCGATATTATCGTTGCTTGTAACCCGGTAAATAATTTCGTACATCTCCCCATAAAACAAGTCTTAGCGGGGAAAAAAGCTCATATTCGAATAAGTTTATTCCCCTCTGTGGGAAAGAGTTTTTTTTTTCTCAGAGTCAAGTTTTGTCAACAACTGTTGCCCATAAAGTAAAACAAATATCCGCCTCTAAGTCGTATTTTACCGTTGCAGAATGTGGAAAACAGACAGCCCTCACAGGAGGCACCATAGTTAAAATATTTAAATTTCAACTAAATTTGTAGTAATGATCGGATTTCCTCACTTATCTACACCACACTCCTTGTCCTTGATTTCTTATCGTTCCTCTGTCCCTTAATAGAAACCACATATATAGAAACTATCCTCCCTTTCAGTTGTCTTTTGCACTTCCATATCGCAAAGCAGTTACTGTAGGTTATTTTCTGCTTATGCATTAATGTAATTAATTAACTTATTTATCCTTAAGTAAGGTAATGACTTGAGTTCTAATGCTTTTTGTCTCTTGAGTTAGCTGTCAATGTGGGATTTTTTTCCCCTTTTGTCCAGTTAAAGCTGCCTTTCATTCTTCAACACAGCTTAAACTCTAATAGGTAAGCTTTCTTGTAATTTCTTAGTTCTGCAGGCTTCTTGAAAGACATCCGAGACTCTTCTTTGGATGCTGGCTGCCTTTTGTTTTGTTTTCTGTCAAGATGATCCCACACCGCTTCGATCATCTTGAGGTTCGAACCCTGGAGAGATCAATCCATGACTGATGCGTTGTTTCATCCAGGCATACTTTGACTACATTGGCAGTATGTTTGCGATCATTGTCGTACTGAAAAATGAAGTTGAAGCCAATCAGACACTACGTGGTAATACATGGTCGATCAAAATCTGGTGGAACTTTTCTACATTCATAATTTGATTAATTTGGATAAGAGCTCCAACAACACTGGCTGAAATCCAGCCTCAAAGCACGGTAGAGTATCCACGCTGTGTTAAAGACGGCTATAGACATTCACTGTTGTATCTCTCTTCGGACCTCTTCCGTGCATATTTCAAATTTGGATTCATTACTCCATAAGACATATTACAGCTGATTTCTTTTTCCAGTCAATTTCTTGTGTAATTTGGCACACCTCAGCCTTATTTTTCTCTGTTCCTTAAGAATGGCTTATTAACAGCCACCCTTCCAACTCAGATAACTTTTGATGAGGTTTCATGAAATGTTTACAGCACTTGAGTTACTCGCCATCCTAAATGCTAAAAACACTAAACTTTAATTCTAAATTACGTAATTAACGTTAACCAGAAAAAACAAGCCAAAGTCGAAATGTTGCTGAGCTGACCTGTGGTATGCTATGTCTTCTAAAGCGTGTATAATGTAAACAGAACTGGTCTTTGCACAGAAGCCTGTGGAGCTTCATAATTAACCTCAGTGTGTGAAGAGGACTCTCCATTTAATAATAGCTGTAATAAAATGTTATGACCGACGGTGTTAAACGCTGCACTTGGGTCTAGCAGGGAAGATTTCAACTTTTCAATATGAATGAAGGCTGAAAACTGATTAGATTAATGTCTGATGATCTTTTCTGTGCTTCTTCAAGTTTGTAACACCAAACATATTAAAGGATGATGTAAAGCTCACAGGAAGAGTTTAATTAGACACACATTTACTATTTTCTTTATACTCATTCTTTCTTGACATGTTTAATATGCTTACTATCAGAGGAGAAAATGAACCTTGTGTAGTCTAAAAACTTTTTTATTTAATCAAACTGTAATGTTGTTGAACTCTGACGGACGTGTCTTTTAATCTTGTCAACAAATCCTTAATCATCTAAATCTGTCATTTATCATCTAGTAAAATGTTCCCTCTGCTTCTGTTGCACATCTCCCCGGACACTCTCTGCTTCACCAGCCCTGTGCAGCTGGTCCAACCCCTGCCTGCCTTCTTAAACTGGGGTGTTTAAATCTCTTTACCTCTGTTGTGAACTTCACACAAAGTTTGTGGTAACAAAATCAAACTGACGAGGATCTCGTTTGAAAAACACACACACTCACGAGACAAAATAAAAACAGACTGCTCAAAGCAAAAGCAGAGCCCTCACAGCTGGTAGTACAAACACAGTGACAACATGCGTATTAGATACCCTCAGTGCCAAAAGCATAAATATGAAAAAATGTGATCACCAAGAATATCCTAAAAATGGCATTGAGGTGCGTGTTACAGTAAAGAAAAAAAAAGTAGCCAAATTTTCATCGGAAAATGTTGAATTTTAGTAAAAACAATGCTCTGTAGTTTGATACTGTCGTTACAGACAAAGCAGATGTTTAAAGCCTTTGGACGCACATTTGAAATGCACTCATTCTCCTTATCAGCTGGAAACATTAAAGCTGTAAAATGACTTTTTCAAACGGATAAAAACTATTGAACAGCAGCAATGTTGAGCCTGTTCCAAAATTTGAATGTACATGTGTTGAAGGTGCAGGTCTTGTTGAATTATTAAACATACTTTCTTTAATTTTTCGAGCCACAAAAACAACAACTTTTAATTTTCTTCTGCTTGAGTCTCGGCCTCGGGTAGCTCTACTTATCATTGCTCAGTCAGTTGTCTGTTTGTGCTACTTTTTTTCAAGGAGCAGTGGATTATTGGTAAGGGTGACTTTATGTGTTTAGTTACTTAAGTGGAAGTACTGTGGATAGTTTTACCTTATATACATAGATCTACCAGTACAGCTTCTGGGGTATCTGTTTACAAAATGTTATAATCTATTCAAAGGTTCTTTGCAATTTTACATTGATAAACATTATCCTTAACACATTTGGCCCACATAAAGTACTATGGCCATCACACGGTCATTTAGAATTGTTTAAATAACTCGTGTCTTAAGTCTTTCCATCAAACAGAAAATTAAAAAAAAAAAATAAAAAAAAAACATGGTTCACTTTTACATCACAAAATGTTAGAAATATAAGTCGTTCATAACAACCTGAAAGGTTGGGAGTTTAAAATGCAAACCAATGGAAGCAGCAGTAGAAGACTATAATGTCACAGAGCACATGGTGTCTATTATTGTGTAGACATTTATAAATAAGAGCTTAATAAAGATGCTTAATTTCTTAAGAAATAAACAGGTGGAGTGATCTTTATCAAAAGTGGATGTTGCATCTGTGGCTAAACCACTGTACCCAAAAAAAACTTTAAAAATCTACTGTGTGTGAGTAAAGCTTGCCCTTCACACCTGCGTGTAATAAACCATTTGTTGGGGGTTGTGGATTTGGCACCTCAGCATTGTGAAAGTGGGGAAACATGTTTCTGGCTGTGCATAAGATTTCTGCTTACAACTTAGAATCTCATTTCTAAATGAAATTCAGATGTTTTTTAAGTATGGCTAATGTATTATTTGACTTCTAAGGCACGCACACACACACACACACACACACACACATCATAAAAACGCAATCATTCATCTTCCAACTGTATCTTTCTGTTCTGGCTTTCGAATCATAGGTTGTTTACTGAGCCGTACTTTGGGAGTCATACTATTGTGATACTGAGGAGAAAAGGGTAAGGTTTGATAGACTAAACCATTACACACACCAAACTTGAAAAACCTAAAGAGTATGTGAGACTGCTAGCTGTGTTGTTCAGCATTAAACTCATCTACAAATGTGTTAGTAAAGAGTGACTTGTACTTCTGTCCCATTAAGCAACGGTTTAACAAATTTCACTGCAAACTATAAAAGGAATCTGGATTTATATAGAACATAGTAGTGATGGATTAAGTGCAGGAAACACTAGTATAAGGTGTCTATTGAACAAATCTCCTTCAGCGTTCAAAATGACCAAAGTGAGGCCTACAGGCGTTTCTCTCAGTTGGTTGTGTTCAGGGAAAAAGCAGCTAAATACACTGAGACTGCTCCACATTGTTAGCGAGTTAACTCTGGATATCTGTAGGTTTTGTCAAACTTGGAGTGAACA